TAAAACAGCTAGATAACATTTAACACTAGCAAGCTGTAATTCTTCGTCAGAGAGTTGTACCCAACAATAAATTACAGCACATGGGTCAATAAAACAGCATTCCAAGCCACAACCCTGTAATATAATGTTGTCAACTATCCTTACCAGCTTTATTGTTAACATTTTTGTTTGTTCTGCTACCTAAATTTAGATCTGCTCGCATTTCGGAGAGTCTGTACATTTAGCCTCGCCTGCAGTCATGTTTCGACTGACGTGTTGAATGATGAGCCTGTCATCTGTTTGTTTTATCCCCTTCTCTGAGTCTGGATGGAGTTACGGCCAATCATGGTGACCAGCAGCCGCCACAGTTTGTCTCAAGTTATTTAATACTCAGATAAACACGCAGCAGTCTTAACTCTTCTTCCGTATGACAAACGGGAGTGTAGGTTTCACTGCTGAATAATTCAGTTCTGGGTTTTTAGCTCTGTATTGCTTGTTAGGGGAGAAGAGAAAGGTAATTGGATAGTTCATAATGATGAGCAGCTCATGTTACCGTTTTCTTTTTTTCTTTCTTTCTTCCTTTCTTTTTTATTTCCAGCCTGAACATGTTCATGCAGCAAATATTGTTTAAACTTATTTCTTCTTCTTTTTTTTTTAGGGAACAGAAAACGAATGATCTAGACAACAACCTGACGTCCTCCACTGGAGAAGGTACGGATAACGCACGTGCACCTCCACATCCACATCCAAGAAGAAGAGAAATGTTTAACCAGCTTGTTTGACTTGGATCACAATCTAATCCCCCCGCTAAGGCCCATCAGCTTGCTAACAACACGGAGGTTTACGTGATTAGAGCCGGGATTAGGCTGCTCTTCTGTCATTAAGCTCCGAATCCTTTTTATTTATATGTCCAAGAAGACACAGAACAGAGTTCATTTTTAAAGAGAAATTCCAGTTTTCTTAAATTTACTGCTGAAAATTAGACTTTTTATGTCAGGTATCCAAATGTGTCTCGGTTCAAAATGAATTTAAAAAATGACAAGCGCACTGTAATGAGCATGTGGGATATGAAGGCATTGCTGTAAAAATATAACTTGTAAAACTTTTTTTTTTCCTCAAATAAGCCTAATGATCTTCTAAGAACATGTTGATTTGGAGGATTATTACTCCCAGGCTACAGGGCATAAAACTGCTTCTAAAATGAATGGAAAAAGCCTTGATATGGTTTCACACGTTGCAGCAGGAATGCTGATGATGTTTTCACCAGAACAGTTTATCCAGGTTAGCCAAAATTATACATACCCCCTGCAAATTTAGGTTTAAATGTTTTTTTATTTTAAACGATCATGCCTTTTCTGAATGGAAGAGACTTTGTCCCATTTATGAAGGAAGCTAAAGATTAGGGTGATGGCAAAGAGGCCTCCATGTTCTCTATTCGTTCCCATTAATTATTGAACATGCCTTTTATTGGGAAATGTTTTTGTTTTTCATTTTATCCATAACTGATACTCCTTTGTCTTATATGATCCCCGAAAAGGAACAAACGTCTCAGTTGAACAAAAATAAATGTAAACTAAATTCGCAGTGACGAGAATAGTTTTGACTTGATTGTATCCGTCTAATACTGGAATGTTTTTTTAAGATATGTTCTTAAGCCATGACTTCTTTTACATGGAAACACTTTTTTAGTTTTCAGTTGTTTCACAAACTCTTTCTCCGTATTTCCATGAAATGCCCCTTTAATTAAGCCAACTTAATGGTAGACACTCTGGGAAAGAGGAAAGTCAAAGTTTCCACTTTCAATCCTGGCGATGCAGATGAATGGTTGTGAAAGAGGAACTGGCTTCACTAGAAAAATTCCCTGAGTGTTTTTCCTGCTCTGTGGTATTAGGGCCGCTGCCTGGAGAGGAGAACGTTTCACGTAACAAAGTGTTTTGTGTTTCTGTGAAGCTCAGCGGATATTCAGCCTGCATTTGTTTTGCCACAGTTTGTTCCTGAGTGCTACTTTTTCTCGGAGACTGAAGACAGCCCGGTTTAATGTGCATATTTGTGTAAACCTTGGATTTACACAAATACTTCAAGTTCATTTTCAGGTTTCTGCGCACTTCTGCTGTTGAGCGTTTTTTTTCATGAAAAGTTTTTCCGTCAAACAATTAAACGGGCAACATGGCATTTTGCTGTTCAGATACGTTAAAACTCCAGCAGCTTTTATTCATTCTGCCTGTCTTTGTCTCTTTCTGTCTCTGTCTTTCTTGGTTTAACTTTGAGCATACAGGTTTAAAAAAAATAAATAAACAAACATCTGCTTGAAACAGATTTGTCTTTCAACTTTAATAAAAACATGTTTAGATGAAGTTGATCTTAGAACTACTCCTGATGTCCACCTGCTGTACCCAAATCAAAACCTCGGTTGGTGTGTTTTTGATATTGTCCTGTTTAAAACACCCAGTAATGTCCATATTTTAGTTGGAAAATTTTTCATCTTCGTTATTTCAAGATTGTTCACTGCCCCATGATGGTGTGGGGCAGTGAAACAGCCCCACAGAATCATGCTGGATTGCTGTAGATGTTGTTTCTTACTCAGATTATGGGCTTTCATAATCTGAATGAAAATGTGTAGATTGTTCTGTGACTGAAAACTGAACAATTTAAAGGAATTCTGCTCGTTCTGTCCAGCTTTTGGGGTCAGTGTACGACTTGAACAGCAGATTCATCATTTGACCCAGGAAGAGCAGTTTAAAGGCAGAGTTAATGACTTTCCTGACAGTGATGATTGTAGGTACAGTAAACCTCTGAGTGGAACTCCAGATATCACATGTGCATTTATGAGCAAATTTCACTGAAATACACAAATATGTAGTTCTACAGTTCAACCAGCTAACTCCTTTTGTGCTACTTCTTTAAATTATGCAGGGAGATATTTCTGTTGCGAGATTGTTGTTATGGCAACAGACTCTTGATGCGTGAATGAAACAGAAAAGAAGTCAACGCCTTCCGTTCATGACTACACAGAAAAATATCCACAGTAATTGTAATTTTTTTTCTCTTTCCAATAGACTCTTTCCAATTTTACCATTAATGTAAAAGCTCTTAGAGTATGTTCTATAAGCATCTAAAAATTGCTGAAAACAAACGCTTGTTTGATCACATGATCCACCAGAACTCGTAGTTATCTGTGGGGAGGCCATGCGATCTTTATCTCTGATGTTACTTTCACTTTTATGAGTACAGTGAGTGAGTGTGTGGAAGAACTTGTAGTTGCAGGTTAAACTCTGCCGGGAGAAAAATCAGGTTCCCTAAGCAACATGTACAGACACACACCCTGGTAGCCCAGCTTTTATCTTCGCTGCTTGAATATGTGAACGAACCAACGCTGCCCCCTTGTGGTGCCTCGTCGTGTCTGGCTGAGACTGGAATGCATCCGCGGAAAAGTTATTTATCGGTTCAAATCTGAACATATTTATATTCAAAAGCATCAAAGCAGGTCGTATGGGGAAAAACTGCAGCCTGTTACGATGAAGGCTGAAGAGTTTCTGATCAGGACGGGCTTGGAGAGAGGAAATTAGGAAGGATGAATCCTGGGCGGAAAAACAGTCCACAGTTTGCTGGAGGCTGTGCTGTGTGATTATCATGTGCACACCGCAGCACAGTGTGTCTTTTGTTGCCACTCCACCATAAACCATGAAAGTTCGAACTTTGTGTGTGAGAACGATGTTGGCGTCCTTCGGCTCCTTTACAGAGTGCCAGCTTTAGAGGTCCGACCTTAAAATTCCTTCTTAAAAATCATTTTTTGTTTGTTTTTAGTTACAATTCCAGCACCAGTGTGACGTCAGAGTCCTAACCGTAATGCTCACCCTCTTGTTGGGCTACTGTACGTTTAAAAACCTGCTCTGATTACAGAGTTTATGACCACCCTCCACCGTTGGGGACTTTTGCCTGGAAATTACTACCTACCTGCTGCTTTTTGCCTCCAGTAAAAGCTTCAGAGTGCACAGCTGTAATTTAGGGCTCCACCCCGGTGTTAAGCCACAGACACAAATTCAAAACAGTGGAGAAGCTGGTTCAGATGCTCGGAGGGTTTTTGGGGTCCATTTAGATCCCCAAACCTCTTGATCGATCTGGACACCGATTCAAATTCGCATGTAACACAAAACAGGAGGCTAGTTGTGTTTGTGTGAAATTGAGTTTAAAATCAAGATCAAGCAGTTAGTGAAAAAAATTAGATCATTTGGCAATAAATGGGTCATACAAAATGCAGAACATGAAATGGTCTCTCAGAAAAAGTGGGAAAAAATGAAGTTCAAACTACTGCATGGAGCTTATTCTTTAATCAAATTAACTTTATTTATGAAGCACATTTGGGGCATCCGAGGGTTAACCAATAAACTGTAAAATAATAACAAATGGCCACCAAACATTCAATTTAACTAGAAAAAACATGTAAATAATTTCTACAACAAGAAATGTATGACGTGTAACAAAAAAATGACACTAAAAAACTGAAAGATGATAAAATATAGAGATGGCCACAAATTCAACCAAACACTTTGTCATTTGATAGAAAATAAGACGGCCATCTTTCAAAATATATTTCTTGGCAGTACAGATGACTGGTCAACAGGACATAAAACTGCATATCATCTGCACAACAATAAAATGAGAAGCATTGATCAATGATGTGACTCAACGGATTGCCTGAATAAAAGCGGTCCTAACATGACTCCCTGAGGAACTCCTTAACTAATAGACACTGGCAGCCAGAATAGTAACTCGGTTAAATAAATCTCATCTCTGAAGCAACATGGGAAAGAACAAACCTATTTGTTTACTCTGTTTTGCCACAGTGAATGTATATTATGTGAACATAGTCTGTCTTATTGTTGACTTGTGTGTGTACATATATTTTTTTTAACCCATTTATTTTGACCATCAGGTTTGCTGGAATGGGTAACCTGCTAAAAGTCCTTACAAGAGAAATAGAGAACTATCCACACTTTTTCCTGGACTTTGAAAGTAAGTCTGCGATCTGAGTGGAGCGTCATGTGTGGAGGGGGTTGAAGCCTAACCTGCTCCTGTCTCCTTTCTGTCAGCCGATTTCTGTGCAAGACGAAACAAAACGACCAAAAAAAAAACAAAAACTTGTTTCGCTCTCTGCTTCTGCGCTTCTTCCTCCTTTCTCGGCACAGCTATGACCTGCTGCTCTGTTTATGACTCTTTTTTTTTTTAACATAAACTCCTTTTCTTCCTTTCCCTGTGTTTTTCCTTTCTTCATGTCTTGCAGAAACCAAATGGGGAATCTGTTAAAAGTGCTCACTTGCACAGAGCTTGAACAGGGACCAAACTTTTTCCTTGACTTTGAAAGTGAGCACGACTTTATTCCTGTCCCTTTTCTAAACTCCCAACATGCCTACCACCTTTCTTTTAATTATTTCCCCCTGAATTTCTTTTCTTTAGTGTGGCTGGTCAGGGCTCAGCCCATTCAATCTCTCAATTGTCTCTCTGTGAATTTCTAATGTCTCCTCTGTTATTTTTCATTCATCTTTTTGTGAAAGAAAGAGCCTGACCTTATGACCTGTGCCGTCTGCTTTTACTAAGTTATCTGTATGCATCAGTGTTTGTTTCTGCAATCAGTGTACACATTTGCAAAAAGCGTCAGTTCCTCTCTGAGCCGAGGCAGAAGCTAGGATAAATCTAATACAGACTGGTGGATTTTGGCTTCGGCCTTCTGCTGAGACCTCCCACAGAAGAAGAAGAAACTCACACTACACCTCCACAGTGGGATTTCAGCTGTTCTCCCACTGCAGTCAACCTCAGGCTTTGTTTATTCAGCAGAGAGGAAATGAAGGGAGTAGAATGTTTTTGAAATGCAAAACAGACCCGAGACACAGTGCTAATGTCAGGGATTTTCTATATATAGAGCTGCTCCAGGAGGTTCCTGCACACATTATACTGTTATATATGTAAGGAGCTAATATCAGCATACACGCTAGTTTTGTAGACCTAATTTTCTAGCATATCTCACTAATCCCAAACCATCTAAAGCTGTTTTCCAGTTACTGCTGCCACGCATTTAGACTCCAGTGAAAGTTTCACATTCATCATTATTATTATATATTGTATTCATGGTAATGAGTTTTAGGAATGAGAAACGGGTGCAGAAGTTTTAATTTATTTCCACATGGAGTTCAAAGCTTTATATACAGTATAAACTCAAATATATAGATACACCTGGTGATGTAATCGTGATATTTAGGGTTGTCCCAATCTGATATTGATATTTATATCAACCAAAAAAACGAGTATCGGATTATTTCAGCGTACATCTATAAGCACTTCACTCCAACATTTAGTCTGCCCCATTGACAAAATGAGTAGTAAAAGCTTATACGATGCATGCTCATATCGCAAGGGTCAATGTCAGAATCTGCCAGTACTCAAAGCTCCAGTATTGGAAAAGAAAAGGGTTTTATCAGGACACATCTATTAGTATTTAGATTGATATCCTGTCGGAATTTGCTGAGAGACATCTCGCCTTTTGATGCAATCAGTTAGATTATTGCATAATTCTGGATGGATGGGGGAGCTCTAATTTTTGTAAGGAACACTTCACACTGGAACTGAAAGATATTTTAAATATCCAAAATAAAACATGACAGTTAAAACACAAAAGAAAAATGTTGTAAAAAAGAAACATTTACAACCAAAACCATAATAAAATTGATTATGATGTCTTTGTAAACAAAGTTGCCCTTCAAAAGATATTAATCATCGGAATGGAAATTGTCAAACTCATTTTAATTTGTGATGCTATTAATTGATTATTGTGTGACTTGTGCACCAAGTTCTTGTTTTTAATTCTCCTTTTTTTTCACTCCCATCTAAAATAAATGGTTAAAATTAATGATAAAGCTAATATGAAAAACTGAGATTTTTACTTCAGTCAGGAATAAAATCCCTGTACAGTAATTAATTGTTGAGGAGTATGAATGACTGGAGTTTTGATTTGTTCATAGATGCACAGCCGACAGAAGGTGAGCGTAAGGTGTGGAACCAGGTGAACTCGGTCCTGCAGGACTCTGAGAGCATCCTGACCGGGCTGCAGGCGTACAAAGGGGCGGGGCTGGAGATCAGAGATGTAAGAAAACACACATCACACACACTCTTCAGGATTTGCTTCCATGGGATTAAAGCTGCGATATTTAACTTTTAAAGAAAATATGTGTTTTACATAGTTGTTAAAACTGTCACCATGTCGTGACAGTTTATCAATCAAGTTCATTTGTATAGCAAGGTGGTTCAGTTTGCTTTACAAAATAAAAGCACAAAATTACAAAGTTATAAGGAAAATACCTTATGAGACGGATAATCTGTGAAAACATTTATTTCCTCTATTTCCTCCCTGAGCTACTCAAAACCAAAAACAACTTGTCAGAACCAGGAGGAGTGTCTCAGCGCTGTTAATTACAATCATGTTCACACTTCTCAATGCGCTAAAGGAGGAGAATTAACTTACCTTTACAGGAAAACCATTTATCCACCGTCATCAGTGGTAATGCGAACTAACCTTAGGATTCATGACAGCAGCATAGCAAAGAGAAAGGATGGAGAGGGGAGGGGGGAAGGAGGATTGGGGTTGTGCCACAAGGATGGTGATTAACAGCGCTGGTTGTTTCTAGATAGCAATGGGAGAAGGCAGAGGAGCTTTTTTATTACACAGATTATCTGTTTCATATGCAACAGAGTTTTAACAAAACTCTGTTTTCTATAATAGTTACATACTGCAGTTTCAAATCATTTGACTAATAATTTAACTTTTTGCTTTATGCCGCTCCAGGCGATCCAGAATCCCAATGACATGTCGCTGCAGGAGCGAGCCTGGAACTCCGTCTGCCCGCTGGTCATCAAACTCAAGACGTTCTACAGTTTCTCTCTCCGACTAGGTGACCCCACACTGACATACACTTAGTCAAGCAATGCTGTGGATGTGTCTTTTCACAGCCAAACAGAAATACTCTAGTCTTATGAAATGCCTTCTGCTCTGCAGAGGAAGCTTTGAAGAGTTTGCTGAAGTCGCTTACTTGCCCGCCCCTCACTCCCACTCAGCATCTGGAGAGGGAGCAGGCGCTGGCCAAACAGTTCGCCGAGATCCTCCACTTCACTCTGCGCTTTGACGAGCTCAAGGTCGACTACACACACAGACCAATACACTCCCTCCCTCACATAACAAAAGTGCCACGTGTGTTGACCGAGGTTTGTTTGGATGTCTTGACACAGATGAGGATTCCTGCCATCCAGAACGACTTCAGCTACTACAGGAGGACCATCAGTCGGAACCGGATAAACAACATGAATGTAAGAGCACTTTTTTCTTGACCATTAAACACACAGGCACAAAAAACATTTCACCCCATTAATTGTTGTGTGTTTTCATTTATAGTTGGACATTGAAAATGAAGTTAACAATGAGATGGCCAACCGGATGTCTCTGTTCTACGCTGAGGCCACGCCCATGCTGAAAACACTGAGCACCGCGACGACAAACTTTGTGTCGGAGGTGAGAGCGCTGCTACAACATAACCGTCTAACTATCCTTCATTCAAACATATAGGGGGCCTGGAGGGGAAATAACAAAACTAGTGGTGAAGTGGTAATAGAGTTCATTTCAGGGCCTGTAATTAATGGCAAGCCACGTATTGACAAAATAAGCAACGTTTTCAGCTCAAATAAACCTTTTTTCTTCTAAATTATTGAATTAATAGATGAATTAGCCCAAAAACAGAACTATTTATTGTTTTCAATCTTTTACGTAACAATTAGATTGGTGCAAAGTGCTTTTATACCCAACCAGGAACCAGTGATCATTCATGGACCTTCTTTAGAAATATGGGCTGTGGATGCTAACATTAGCATTAGGGACAACTGTCCTGCTACAACTTGGTTAGCATTGAGATGCTACTTTAGGCTTGATAACTGATAGGCTAACAATAGTTGTTTCCAGAATCCAATCAGATATTTATAAAAGCAGAAATGGCCCAGGAAAAGCGGCACTGTGCTCCATGGCTGCTGTTAGCGGATGTTGCTTGGGTGTCAAATTTATCAGTGTATCAGAAATACAAAGTTCCTGTTTGGAACTTTTGTCTGTTAAAGAATTTTCTTAAAAATGTGATTAATTCCTGTGAAAAAAATTTAATGTGTTAAAATATATGTAATGAATTCATTGAAAATAACACGTTAAAGTCCCAGCCCTAAATAAAAACATATCTAAAGTCTACTCATGATTCTTCTCTGACGTTTGACCATTTATCTGTCGACTTTTATCTTGAAGCTACAAAATTTTCTACACAGTGCTGAACTTTAATTTTTATTCAATTTACCAACTCAAGATTAAACTAGGAGGTGGAAAACTGTGATTATTATCATTAACAGAGCGTGTTTTCTTTGACTTTTCTAGAACAAAACTCTTCCACTGGAGAACACGACAGATTGCCTCAGCACCATGGCCAGTGTGTGTAAGGTCATGCTGGAGACGCCGTGAGTTTCTGCACTCACCAGTTCAAATCTCATCACACACACTTAATTGGTCTATTAAAGCAGCAGGATTAAAAGTTAAGTTGGCCATAATCCTTTTATAACATTCGCTATAAAATGCATTAGATGGCCAGTTGGCCTATGAGTAAAGATGTAAAACTGTGATTAGACAGTTTTAAGTTGAAATATGTTTAGACTTCACTCTTATTGCGGTTTTACAATTTCCTTACAAGTGAAACTAAACCGCGTGTTACATCACTGGAAATCACAATACTGTTAAGTTCATTTATTTCATCTCCAGAAATTAAGCTCATAAGTTTCAGTAATTGATTACAAACAGACTGGTGTTTTTTAGGAGTCTATGTCTAATAATTGTGCAGATTCTGGCTTATTTCTAATGAAAACCAAAATTCAGCTTCTCAGAAATTTACAATATGACATATGATGGTAAAAAAAAAAAATTAAAGACAAAAATTGTCAACTTGTTGAACGGTATGTCCATGTTCTGCTCAGTATGTGGACTCAGTGGTTGGTCATGCTCCTTTTGCATGAATTTGCATGAGCCAACTTCTTCAGCTTTTGTGGTTTGAGTGTCTTATGTCAAGTCATAGTTTGGTGTTTTACTAAGTAATTTTCTAAGAAAATAAATTTTAAATAAACTTTTAAATGATTTTTTTGGGGGGTTTTTAGGGAATATTCGAGTCGCTTCAGCAGCAAGGACACACTCTTGTTTTGCATGAGGGTGATGGTGGGAGTGATCATCCTTTACGACCACGTCCACCCAAACGGCGCTTTCACCAAGTCCTCCAAGATAGATGTAAGAAGACATTTGTTGTTTTTCGGTCCGGTAAAGACGGAAGTCGCCATGTGATTTCACTCGGCCTTATTTCCTCCAGATGAAAGGCTGCATAAAGGTGCTGAAGGACCAGCCAGTCGACAACGTCGAAGGACTCTTGAACGCTCTCAAGTACGTGCTTTTTATTAAGCAGGTTTTAATTAGAGATGCAGCGATCCCATATTAATATCCATAACCCTGATATTGGAAAGAAAATCTAGATTGGGTATCCATTTGGGCAGATCTATCCAGTCTAGTTCTATGCTTTGTTCTTAGAGCAACATCATGCTCTATTATTTACTTTCTGAACTAGTTGAAAGAAAGTTTGATAACTAAACTGCGGATATCGATATCTGTTTTGGAAGTGGAAAAAAAGTGAATCGGTGCGTTCCTAATTTTAATAATATTATTATTGTTCACTTTTTTCTCCTCAGATTCACCACCAAACACCTGCACGACGAGTCCACTCCAAAAAACATCCAGTCGATGCTCCAGTAACATTTTCTTTTTCTTTTTATAAATGTTGATATGAAGAGGATCATTCTGCTGACCTCAGACAAGATGTAAATGTTTACATTATTTTAAAAAAATTGGTTTGTTGTTCATACTTGTGTGTATTGTGCAAAAATCCTGCACTCCGGTTTATTTTAGTCCTGCAGATTTGATTACTTTCTACTTTCCCACCATAAAAAAAAAAAGAAAAACAAAAAATTTAATGTCGAGCTTCAGATGAGATTCTCCTGATGCAGAATAAATATTCGTTTTTGGGATACCGACTTGAGAAAATCCGTCTTCGGTTCACCTTTGCACCACGGTGTGAGATTTCCGAGAAATGCATTAAAGTCTCAGAAGTCAAACGGACTTCATCTCTGTTGGGATGAAGAATTGATGAAAGGTGCGCTGTTGAAAGTGATTATAAATGATCCAATCAAATGTTTCCTTGAGCTGATTTTAAAAGCTACATGCTGTGCCATGTTTTTGGGTAAATTTCATCGTAACTGTGCTCCCCGTTTTAAGTGGCAGCACTGGTTCAAATCTTTAAAGGCTTAAAATAAATTCATCTTTTATCGCAGCAGCATGATCTCGCATTGGAAATACTTGAAAGCTCAATCATTTTTAATTTATCCTCTGGCAAAACCACCCATTTAGCATAAATAACCGTAATTTATTTAAATTCAAATTTCAGTTTTATTGTAGTTTATTTTGGAAATAATAAACTACACCAAATTCAACAAAATGGACACTAATTTTGTTGTGAATTTGATACACTTGTGTAACTGATCAAGACCTGCAAAGAAAAAAATCTTGCAGCCACTTATTGTGTAACAATTTTTTGATTTAAGACGATGCAACTGGAATAAAAGATGCATTTCTACACGTTTTTACCGCGTGGGCCAGTATTTTTATGGTAATCGTTCTTTTAACAGAAAGACCAAAAATATTTAATTCTAAATAAATTATAATTAGTAACAAAAGTCGGAAATTTTAAATTACATAGAAAAATAAAAGAAACTCGTTCTCCGAAGTGCCCAGTTTTTTGTTGTTTTGTTTTTTTACATTTAATTTTAAATGTGACTGTTGACATTGTGCTACTCCTTGATAAATCAAACTATGGAGGTGAAGTGAAACAGGCCACCGGCACTGAACAGATCCTCCAGCTGCCTCACCTGGTTGTGTCCGTGTGTGTGTGTCCGTGTGTGTGTGTGTGTGTGTGTGTGTGTGTGTGTGTGTGTGTGTGTGTGTGTGTTTGGGTGCTTACCTTACACTGCTCTCAAACTAGGTTGGACAATCTGTGACTGTTAAACTGTGGTTCTTTTTTACTATACTACTCTGAAGACCAATGACAGATGGGGAGAGAAAGAGAGAATGTGTATTAATGGACATCAATGTATAGAGAAGTCGTGTAAAACTTTTTTTTTTTTTTTTTTTACCATAATCTGGATCTCACGATGGAAATGCCAGAAGGCTGTCTTGATGCCCTGCATTGCCTTAAATAAGCTGACGAAGCATGGAAAAACCTGTTTCAGTTGTGCTGAATCCATAAAGCCATACATTTAACCCTCCTGGGGTGTTAGAACGGGTTATCCCGTCAGACCGTCAGTTTCCAAAGCCACACCAGAAACCCCCCACCGTAAAAACACACGCGGGTTCAATGTGGACCAGACCGTGGGAGGGTTAAAACGGGCCGCAGCCACTCCTGTCCCTCCATTAACACTTCAGACTAACATCACTTTAACATCCTGTTGTATTTTGACATGCATCCAATCATGGGTGCGAGCCATATTTTTGACACAATGAGATTTCGGTGTCATATAAGTCTCATTTCTGACTGAAGAGACCCGCCACGTCTTCTGTCAAGGACCTTCTGCAGTCCCAACTGCTTGCCGAATGAAAGACTTTATTTTAATTATTAATCTTTCTGTTTTTGTCTTCAACTGACAGTTATTGTTCAATATTGTTCAGATTTCTGCTCACTGTTTATGGAAGTTGCCTCAGCTGTGTTCTTGCATACTGGATGGGAGGTTTGAATTGGATAATAAAGGTGGTACATTTCTTAAAGACTTTTTGTTCTTATTCTTGTCTTGGTTTTGCAGACAATTTAATTTTTTCTTTTTGGGGCGTACTATGGTGGCAGAGGGGTTAGCACGCCCTACGTTTGGAGGCCTCAGTCCGCGGACGTCGCGGGTTCGACTCCTGGTCCCGGCGACATTTGCCGCATGTTTTCTCACCCTCTTTCCTGTCTGCCTACTGTTGAAAATACGAGCCACTAGAGCCACAAAAACTCTTCGGGAAAAAAAAAGATTAAAAAAAAAAACACATTGCAATTTTTTTTATCAGAGATTTTATTGTGTAGTTTATAGTGTTCTGTATAAGATATATAGAGAAAGTATTAAATATTTTATATAGCCTGATTATTATACGTTACTATACACTGATTGTATTTAACAGTAAGCTAACTGAATGATTGGACTGGTCTGAATTAGATTTTTCTGACATTTTTTACACAACCTGATATTAACTGGATGTTTATCCAATTTGCGATGACTTTGGTGAACGGTGTGAGTGAACTTAATTGAGTTGAATGTATTTTGTTCTTTTGTTTGTTTTTTGTGTTCTAAATTATTGGGTCAGTTTCCCCTTCATGTAACTAGCTTGTACCCATAAACTAGCTGCAGCTATCAGTTAGCCCCCATAAACAAATCATATAAGTGAGTTGTTATGAAATGATTAAAACTGCTGAAATAAGAAATGTTGAAAGGAGCAAATTATTAGCAGCAATAAATACATTATTTAAAGTTTATACTTATGTGTGTTTACTATACCCTCTTGTGGCCAGAACAAGTTAATCCCAATTTGGGGAACAATTTAGATGGACAGAAGAATGGAGAAAGAGACATGTCTTGGTTTTGCAGACAATTTAATTATAATTCCATTTGGCCCATAAAAACAAACTTTTCTAAGTTGAAATGTCTCAAATCTGCCGAGCGACAGGTTTTGGTAAGACAACAGCCTGTTATGTTTTCTAACTTGACTCACAGATTCTCATCAAATACATCTTTGCAGAAACTCTCAATTTGATCCCGAAAATAATGCAAAAAAGAATGTGAAAGGTTTGAAGGACATAATCCAGAATATTAGATTAATTCAAAATAAGTTATTCTGAAGCTCTGCTCAGTGCTGACGTCATTGTCCTGCTGGGGGCAGTGTTGAGCTGCACTTCAAACATTGAACAACCGTAAACCTGCAAGCAAAGACAATCAAGTTTTGTCATGAAGACTTGTTTTCATTGTTTTTTAGCAATACTTGGCACATCAATTAAACTCATTCTCCTGCTGTCTTGACATCCTACCGAAGGCAAAACTTTCTTTAAAACAAAGTTTTTTTTTTTCCTTTAAGAACGTTTTGCCTGTCGTGTCTGATCTGGGTCAAATAGTAAACTCGTCTATTCTGTCGGGTGTTTTTGTCCAGGATCTAAAACTCAACAAAGTTTAAACATTTCTAATTGGGTCACATGCAGCTTCCAGGTGTTTTCTTGCAGAATTACTCATATTCAGTCTCTTAATTTCCTGTGGACGTTTCTCTTAGTGTACAGTTACATCAGATTCTGCCTAAAGGATCCGAACAAGTGAGACTACTTACTGGGAGTGCTCCGCTGAGAGCGCCGCGCTGCCTTGAGGGCCTCCAAACTTAACTGGGGCACCGGCGTCCTCGCTGGCCCGGGTCGGACCCCGGTGTTCCACCGGGTCATGCTGAGCAGGTTCATGGCAGTCTCAATGGTGATTGGGTGGTCCTGAGCAGGAGATGCCCATAAAGGGCGGGTTTGGGTCCGAGGGTCTGTGGGGAGACGATTAGCGGCAACAGGTGGAGAGGAGTCCTGGGTCCTGAGGAACATCTGACAGAACATACGTACAAAAACAGAAGGCTGTTGTTGATACACGGTCACAAGAAGTTCCATTTACAGCCAACTCCATGGTGACACATGGCAATGGCTGCATCATGCTGTGGGGATGCTTTTCTTGGATGATGAAACACAACAAATCCCCTAAAAAAAATCCATTATGTTTTGGGTGGTAACATGATGAAATGCCTGAATACATTTGCTAGGTACTTCAATAAAAGCGACCCGTTTCATCCACCATAATTACCAAAACGCCTTCTCTCTCAACGTTAACATGATTACGTTTTAAAGAGCTACTTCATAATGTATGATGCCTCCTGGTAACACAGTTCCATTGCTCATCGCTCTGTAAAATTCAGACAAGAAGATAAACCATCACTGAGAGCTAATGGCGGAGATTCACCAGAGACTTAGCTTTGCGTAGTTTGTACGTGGCCTCAGTTGACGTTTTTCTCTTCCCGTCACCGTTCTGGGACGCACCGCTCCGGCATGTGGAGGTCTTACTTCTCATTTGCCTGGGCATAGATTTAAGTATTTTAATCCAAGAGTTCAAAAGGCAAAAAGTTCTGTTTCCAACATGCTCACTCTCTAAAGGTCTGCTCCACTGGATCCAGGTTGTCCAGGTAGTTGAAGCGTATTGTGTCCTTTGGGTGTCTGTCTGAGTCTCTCCATGGCGGCAGGGCTTTGGCCTTCTTTTCTGTTTTTAACCGTGATCTGGAGCTGGATTCAGGAGGCTGGATGGTGGGAACTGAATGCTCCTCGTCGTTCTTGGCCAGTTCTGGTGGTTCCTTACGTCCACCGCTGAGGGTAGAAGGAATTTCAAGCTCCGGTGGCATTGATGGTATCTGGAAACACACTGCAGACTTTTAGTCCTGTCGCTCCATTGGACCTTTTTTACATGTAAGAAAGTCCCCTGACCTGCAGCAGTCTGCGTCGCAGATCCTGAACAGTCTCTATGTAGTGTCTCTTCCAGACGCCTTGCTCAAAAGCCGAGGGGGAGAAGGTGATGCACCAGCCGAGCCGCAGACACTTGGCCATCCACAGTTGGTCCAGCTCCACGATGCTCCTCCAGTGCCAGCTCACCTGTCACATACAAAGGGCAAACGTCTTACGCACCCTAATCCTGGGCCTCCCGGATCTGCCCCAGCGACGGGTACCTGAGCACATCGGCAGAGGCTGCGAGGGTCCAGGAAGGAGAACAAGTAGAGGCAGAGGGCTCTGGGCAGCAGGCAGGTGAAGTCTGCAGCCTGCAGGGGGAGCCGTCTGCTCACGGTGAGGCTCAGGAACCTGAGCTGCTCCGCCGAACAGCGGAGCACGAAGTCCTCCAGCACAGCCTTCCTCTGGCTGTCGGACCAACTGCCAAACTAGCAGAGGACATAACTGAGATCACCAGGAGCATCAGTTTTACAGCACCAGAATAAGTTATCCTCTTAAACTGACCCATTTTGCCAGAAGCTGTCTCCTCTCATCAAACAGCTGGGAATTAAAGGTCAGATTTAGTTAGATAACGTGAAACATTTCAAGTTTTTGGCAGTTTGATAAGCTTTCTAAAACTAAATACTTTTTACTTGAAAGGGGTAGTATAATATAAATCAAATTTTTTAATTTATTTTTTTAATTTGAGATTTACATCATGTCATATCGTTATCCTCTCCTCAAAAACATTGTTTTCTTTTATTTCCCGTGGAAATCACGGGAATGGTTTCCACTGCCGTTGCCTCCAGGCTCTGCTCCTCCTCAGAGCTTCAGTTTCCCAGCCTCCGCCTCCCAGAGCAGCCCTCCCCTGGAACTCCTGCAGACTAGCCAGAAGCCATTAGCATACACCTGGTGGAACTGAAGATCGGCTGAGGTCGTTATAGAAGCTACTTCTCAGAGCGACGCTGGTAAAAATGTTGTGAAAGGGTTAATATAGGAGCCATGTTGTGATGACTTCCTGAAGGCGGAGTTTCAGAGAGAGCAGGAGCGTCTTAAAGAGACAGAGGCCCAATTTCAAGATGTTGAATTATGAATTCATATTTGTTTTGAGTCATATTTGTGATATATAACATCTTTTATAACACCTGAAGGTAACATATTTTTATTATTATACAAAATGGCCCATGTGCCTTGAAAACACATAATTCTGGCCCTGTAGTAAAATAACAAAAAGCAGTGATTCTGAAAATGAGCTGATGTTGACCTTGCTGTTGATCAGCGGATGGTTCAGTGGGGTCCATGCACTCCGCTCAGTTTGCATCGTGGCACGGCGAGACGAAGGCCGTAGCTCGAGTGGCATCTGGAGGCACAAAGACAAAACAATGAGCCTCAACACTGCTGCAAAACCGATTTTTCTTCCTTATTTATCTTTTTTATTTATTTATTTTTTTATTTGTTGTTAAAAGACCCAATCCACAAGGGTCTTTAAAAAGTCCCCGTATTTTAAAGACTTCACAACATTCATGCACTCTAAACAAGGTTCCAGAAGCCTTTGAAAGAGAAATGGGCCCACAGCATCACAGATCCTTTCCCGTGACTGACAGTCGGGAAGAGGTTCATGCTTATTCATAGAGTAACCCACAATAAACTCCAACTTGTTTCAAGTTAAAACACCAGAGTTAATCAAATTTTGCACTTAAAAACTTTTTAAACCTTACCATCAGTAAATTACAAATAATAACAACAATAATAATAATCCAGCTCCGGAACGCACTTTATGCGCACCAACTCCTCTCCGTCTTCTCTTCCGCCCATGTCCCTCTGCACGGTTGACTTGTTCCCATAGTAACGGCGTATGAACCCTGCCTACTTGACACTGTGGTGCGCGTGAGCAATTTGAAACTGCAGCGCAACACGTAACTTCTAGGACTTTAGAATATGAAACTTTACTTCAGTGTGAGATCAAGTGCTGCAACAAAGAGACCCGAAAAATGAATAGTTGAACGTTCAGACGGGCGGAAACACGCAGCTGCTGAGGAGAGAGGGAGGGTGGGGGGGTATGTCAAGCTGCGCATGTTCACGCAGCACCAGACCGGAAGTAGCGCAGAGAAGCGTTAGGAAAAATAAGAACGTTTGACCTCGGAGTGTTTGATTATAAAGTGCGGTAGAAAAAAAAAAGAGTTTGACATGAATAAAGGACTAAACAGCTTCTTTAAAGAACTGAGGCTTCAAAGAGCCTCATCGTCTGCCAGGACTAATAAAGTGTCATTTCGCTGTTTTGGTATTAAACGTGAATTCTGTCTAAAGAATTCACGTTCTTTAGACGTTCTAACGTTTCTGGAAGCTCTGGCCGAAACGGGTGGAAGAGCTGACTTCTTCAGAGCCAAACATCTAAAGGACAAATACCAATAGTGACTCCTGCTGGCCACCGCGAGTTACAGCAACTAGTTACTCATCTGGGTTTGGATTTGTGTGTGTGCGTGTGTGTGTGGAGGGGGCTATTTTTTGTAAGAAAAAAAAAGCAAATAAACAATAAAACATCATGGTCGCCAGGATCTTTGAGGAAATTAATATACGAGACAAAAGTGGAACTTTATTGAAAGTTAAACAATGTGATGGTAATAATTAGCGGTGGCACAAAATCCTAAAGGGAAATTATAATATAATATATTTTTATATAATACAATTTAATATAATATAAAATTTTGTAGACAGCATGGCTTTGCCCCCAGGAATATCTGTACCTCATGTTGCTCCTTTACTTAATTTTTTTTGGGTGGGTGGGGGTTCAGGGGGTGCTGATTTAAAGTATTACCAGACACATTTTGTCCAAATAAGAGGTATTAATGTTCATGTGACCTTTGACTTGGACGAGGAGCAGACCTTTTTACGAAGGAGAGTTGCATGCTCCACCTTGCCTCCTATATACAAATCACTTTCCTTCATTTCAAGACAATATGATATAAAACTGTGTTTATTTTTTTTGTTTGTTTGTTGCCCCAACTGTGCCAACATTGCACAGTTGGGGCCAGTTTATTCAGACAATATTATTCTAGTGCATTAATATGCAGTTGATTACAAAATAACTATAAAGCCAATTTTTATTTTACTTTATTAATGACTAACAGTAACAGGGGATGGATGCAAGATAATTTCATGGACAAGGTGCTTGGTTCATAAGTTGGGATTATTCCCAGTGAAAACACGAGGATCCACTGTACAACCATTATTTGATTATTTGTTTATCCTCAAAACTAACTTCAGTCCCAAAGGGTGATAAGTTGATCATCAGTGAATAAATGGTCCTATTCCAAGGCAGGCAAAGACTGAAGCAATATCTGCCAAAACCAAAACTATGGGGCTGCAGGTACTTCATGTGGCTGGTGCAGAGAGCGACCCGTACAAATTGAAAACCTACACAGGGTGAGTTGGGCAATCACCAGGTCTACCTGATATGGGAGCTGCTGGAAATGTTGTCCTTTGCTTGGCTCAAATGATACAAAAAAATAAAAATAAAATAAAATAAAATATTAAAAAAATCAGAACCACAAACTCTTTTAAAAAAAGAACCTGCAGCCCAACTCCAGTCACTGACTGATATGGATCTGGTGGCTCCCACCCAGAGATAATCAGATGGTGAGTCACCAATGTGTCAATAATCAAGTACCAGAAATGTGATACACACTCTTTTTCACATCAACAAGCAATTCCTTCCTGATGTTTTACATATAATAGGGAAAAAGACTGATGGCGACATCCTTAGTGATTCAAACATACACACCACAAACACACAAATGCTCATTTTAGTAATTTGCTTAAATGCAGCATTCATTAATGAAGGTTGGTTGTTTATTTTATATTTGGTGAGTTTGATCCATGTCTGATTTATTTTTGCGAAAAAAAATTTATTTATTGATTTAAATGAATTACATTTTTGTTTGATTTGTATTTCACTTCTCATAATCACTGTAAAAAACCTTGGTGTTCAAGCACAAAGTTGTCCTGAGGAAACAAACCCAAATCTGGCTCCGGGGGCGTCAGAGTCCGAGTTGATGATTGAGATCTAATTATGGACCACTACGCTCCCAAAGAATGCAGGAAAATATTTTATATTTTATAAATGTATTGTATAACCCCCGCCCCCGCCCCAAAACAACAACAACAACAACAACAAAAAAAAGTCTTGCCATAGAAGTTTAAGAGTCTTTTATGAAATCGACAGGGTTCGGACCGGAAGCCATCTTGAAGATGTCGCGGACTTAACGGTGGGAGGAACGTGGGGGTGAAAGAGGAGAGGGGAGGAGAGGAGAGGGAGGCTGGAGGAGGAGGAGGAGGCGGAGGGCAGCTCATTGTTACGGAGAGGGCGAGCTGCTCAGACCGCCGCCACAGCACGTGAATATCCCCGGAGAACATTTCGGTAAAGTTGTGTCCGTTTAATTCCTCCGTTTTTCTTCCTTCCTGAATATCCGAGCGGAGTGCCGCTGCTCCGCCTCCCCGTTGCCGCCCCGGCGGCTCTCTGCTGTAAATGATAACACCGGTGAGCGGAGCTGGCTGCCTCCGCTCCGGTTCCTATCAGCGCCTGAGGTCGGAACCGCCTATTGTCTGCTCGGCGTCTCTTCTCTCTGCTTGAATCCGGGTTTTGGGTGACACTCCGGCGGTCAGAGGGAAGCCGCCGCGTAGACTCTCCTGGTCAGGTTAGTTTAGCTAATTTAATATGCGGAGCGGATCAATGAACCTGGAGATAAACCGCGGAATGAACCTAATTATTTCCACTCTTTTCTATTCTGGTTTAAATGTGAGACATTTAACGGAATGAATTCTCTATTGTATGTTTATTATTATTATTTATGTTTTCATACGTGTCAGTAGAAAGAGTGTGTTGAGGCTGTATGGGTGTGTACTGACATGTTAATGAGGCTGGTTATAATTTGAAAAAAAAAAAAAACACACAATATGGCGAAATAAAAGACAAATGACAGAATGGCTTCTGAAAGGACTTAAACACCACATCAAATTTAAAGTTGTCAAGCAAAAAGTTGCACATAAATCTACTGAATATTATTCTGATTAAAATACCACGTAGTGTTTTTATGCAGTAGGTTTGAATGACCATCTTTTGTTTATGTTAATGTTTTAATTGTATGTTGTTTTTTAATGACTCTGTATTTGTTATTTTTAATGCTAATAAGTTTTATCATATTGGACCTTCTTTTTAAACATCAATGGAGCCACTTGAATGTCATTAACAAAAGCAACTATATTTCATGCTAAAAATGTCATCTGAATCGCTGTTTAAAAAAAAAAAGCACTGCTTTGTTTTGTGAGCTTTGCTACAATTACTATTTTTGTTGTGATTTTTCTGCATGCAGATCACCGGACTGGTTGTTGCTGGTGCTCCCTTTAAAAGGAGCGTAGTTGGACTGGAAGCTCAGCCTCTCTCAGGTGACGGCCCTGTTACATGATGACGATGGAGGGCACCGGCTTCGACCAGGAACACGTCGGATGGTCCCTGCCAGCTTGGACCGTTTCTCTGTGATCTCGGAAGAGACTCAATTTTCAAACAGTTTTAATTTTTTTTTCCCCTTACCTGGTGGATGACCCTTACGGTTACAGAGGGTAACCTCTCGTCCTAAGCAGCCGTCTCCTCTGCTCTCTCGTGTGGGGGGGGGACCCCGGCGATGGATCTCCTGTGGGTGCTCTCCGTGTCGATGCTCGCCGCCTGCGTGGCCATCCCCATGGACGCTGCGGCGGGCAGCCACAGTCTGTTCACCTGCGAGCCCATCACCCTGCGCATGTGTCAGGGTCTGCCATACAACTCCACCTTCATGCCCAACATCATGAACCACTACGACCAGCAGACAGCTGCTCTCGCCATGGAGGTACGGCACATGATGCGACATGTGGAAAAGCTTTTCCCTCAAAGCTGTCTCAAATGTAGTGGAAAATACGTCTCTGTTTTCAGTTTAGCTTTGACGTTTGAGCTTTAAACACGTACGCAATATGTGTCTGTGTTCAAAAAGCCGAGATGGGACAAAAAGATTAGAATAATTATGTAAAAAAAAAAACTCAATTGCAAAAAAAAACATTAATTTTAAAAGAAATTATTTTTAAAATTACCCTAAAAATATTAAATAGATGTTCCAGGTCATCATTTTTATAATTTTTCTAGCAATATCTGCTTTAAGTGCAGGACTTTCGGACTGTTTCAGCAAGGTCAGTGATGTACGTTGTAGGCGACACAGAACAGAGAAACACCTAAAAAATAGTGTTATTATTGTAGAATATTATTCAGTTATTTTAAAGCTGTTTGAGAAAAATATAAGATTTAATATTTGTCTTAATGGTGCCTTTTAGTTGAGCTTCTTTGTGCTTTTAAGACACATTAATAGAAGTTCTGTGACCAATGTTCACACGCCTTTAGCTATATTTCTTTTTTTATCTTATCGAAATAAACCTAAGCTAAGCCAGTTAATTTAATAGGTAAGGGCTGTCTCTGTCTCTCTCTTTATCAGACCTTCTGTAAAGCTTGTTTTTGTTTTTATTTTTGTGAAACCGATCTCAGACCTTCGTAGAAATGTTCTGAACCTCTTTCCATTCATATCCATATTTATGCCGCATCACTCAGGTTTAATTAGGAGTGTATAATCACACTACAGCTGGTTATGTTAGGCCTTCATTGTGTCCGCTCTGTCTGCCGGGTAGATCTGAGGACGACACTAATTTGGTACTGAGGATGTTCAGACAAACACGCCTTTTTTTTTTTTTTTTTTTTTTTTTTTTTTTGCTTTTTAAATTTTCTTCTCCTTCTTCTCCTGTGCTTTGGGACCTGAACGCCACAGATATAAAGGTGTGTCGCTGTGCTGCACATTTGGGATGTTTACAGATGTGTGGAGGGATTTCTCAGACCAGCTCCTGATCACCAAATCTATTTTATATAACAGGCTTTAGAAAAATGACTTAACCACACACACATACAAGCACACAAAGGGGGGGGGGGGAGAGAACCAAACCTATTTTGGTTCCAGTTCAGTGATGGATTAAAATTAGAAGTCTTTGTTATTTTAAAAACATTCATTTAAAACAAATGAATCGATCAACGGTGCATAGATGCCTTCTTGACCAAACACGCTCCTCTTGTGTGTGGCTATACTGGCTGTCCATATTTCACAAACATTGCTCCGGTTTGCCGACCCCCTCCATCATCTCTGGCCACCGACCCCACCCTGCTGCCACGGCGATGATGTGGCGCCACTCTGCCGTCCATCTGTTGGCGTCGCCGTGCTCAGCAGCGACTGTTGGAGAGATGGAGATATGGCTGCCGGCAGAAGCAGCTTGCCGCTAAGAAGCCAGGGTTACGTAACCTCTGAGCTCGGCCTGCCCAGCTGTATGAATGTGCAGCTGCATGTGATGGGTCACAGCTGCTCTCCGGAGCCGGCTCACACACCATCCCGCGTCTTACTGCTCACGATGCACCACCCCAGTCATCTTATGAGCTATGTTTCATTTATTTAAAACACATTAACCATAAAAAGAAACTGTACCTGGTTGCAGTTCTGGTGCCAATTTCCAACCCTGATCTTACCTAGTAACTTCAAAAAATAAAAGAAGAAATGCATTAAAACAGCCGAATGCTATTCAATAAATATAGTAATTGAAACATCATCAGATATACAATCAAACGGCATGTAAACAAAACCATTTGCAGTCACTAGCTGCACTGCTATTGATCATAAAATTGTGCAAATTGCAAAAATCAAGAAAAAACTAGCACAAAAACTGATGAAAAGGTTTTGTGCTCAATATGGATAGATTTTATAAAACTGCAATGGAAACACTTTTTTCATGCTCCATTTTTAATTTTTTCCTGATCACACGTCTCAGGAGTCATAATGTGATCAACGTCCAGATATTACTACTGTCGGAAACGTCAAAGAAGATGACAGGAAGTGGTAGGAGGATGATGGTTAGCTTTTGTTTTTGGACAACGTGCAGCTGCTCCACCAGAGCGCTCACAGCATCGCACAGTTCATAAAGGTTGTTATTCCAACGTGTTGAATACGTAGTTCTTCTGTAAAATCTCCGACCATAATTTTTCCAAAGCCCAGCATATGCAGCCGCTCAGATATAGATATGTGTAGACTCTCAGATATTAGGTGTTTGTTGCTCTAACACCTGAATAAGACGCTTGTGCAGACATGACCTGCTGGTCGAGTAATCCCTCTTTGATGGAAGAGAGAAAGCGGACAGCGGCTGATTTTCAGACCTTTGCGATTTTCAAACCTCGCAAAGGTGGAAATGATTGGCGCTTAAGATTGGTTCCTCAATTTTGATCATTTAAACCAGATCAAAATTAAGACAATCTGGGCCAATTCATTGGTGCATCCCTACTGACTAACCTAAAAAGTACTGTGTAGATTTATTGCGATGAAAGTCTCACTGGAGCTGCTGGGGTTGAGATGTCGTTCTTCAACAGAAAGAGGTCGTTTTGGTTCCAACAGTGTTCACTTTGATTGTTCATGGATTCACAATTAAGTCTCTCTTAGTGCCCAGAAGTGCTTGTCAGTTTAGGTTTTCACACAGGAAGCCGGTAGTTTTCAGATGGCGGAGACTGCTCTTCTGTTCGGCTCTTGTCTTCCCGATAACTCGGCCCGGGATCCAGTCCTTGGGAGAATTCAAAGCCTCTAAGACGTTGAGAGCAGCCAAACAGAGCGTTGATGGTTGATTCTTAAAGGGGAATTAGGCCTGCTTAACAGCCATGATAATAATGATGAATGGCTCGCACCGTGGAGAAGCTGGGAGTTGGACTGGAACCAACGCCTGCCGTTCCTGTGCTCTTTCTTCTAAGCCTCTGAAGTTTTGTCTCTTCATGCTTTCTTTTCAAAGATTTTGCCTGGTGTTAGTTTTATGGGGAAGTAGGACAGTTTATCATCACAGCATTAGTTATAAATTCCCATATCTACTTTAGTCTTTTTGCTAAAAGCTGGGTCAGTGGAAATGTAAACTCCTGAATGACTCAAACCACGAAAATGCTAAGTTACTGTACTTTATGTTCTGCTTTTTATCCTCTTCCAGTCTTTCATCAGTGACCGTTGAATGACCTCGCAGCTCAAATGGGACATGGGCCTCGAGGGTTTGGGAATCTTTTTTTTTTTTTTACCACTGATATTGTGCCGCACTTGCTTAAGTAAGAGCGTGTCAGATTTTAGTGGCATTACTAAATGGGTTAAAATCCCCTCATTTAGACATGGATGCTCTCTCTGGCTCCCAAATGGACTCATGGCAGGAACTCAGTTAAGCTGATAGAGACTCTGATGCCTTCTGTAGTGATCTACAGTTTTTTGTACGGGTTAACTTATTAATCCATCATTCCTGGCTTTATGACTGACAATTTGTGCTTCGGCGGAGGCAGATGCTGTTGTGGCTGAGTGTTATTCCTGATCTGTGGTTTTGAAAAACCACACATGCAAACTGGTGGAACTGAGCACCTGCTGAGCTCGTGATAGGAGCTACTCCTCAGTGAAACGCCGGTGACAATGTGACAATAGAGGAGCCATGTTGTGATGATTTCCTGAAGATGGAGTTCCAGAAAGAGCAGGAGCTTCAGACATAGGCACAGAATTAAATCATAGTCAGAGTTCTCTTGCATCATATTTTATGTATTTCTATAACAACTGATGGTTATATAGTTACTTGGTTGTGCTATAAAATGGCATTATATGCCTGGAAAATACCTACAAGTGCCCCTTTAAAGGGAACATTTTCTCATCTCATCTTTGAAGTTCATTCTTCGGTTTGACATGTAGAAGAGAAGCCGAGCTTTCCCCTTGCAGGTCAGGGGTCACGGCAAGAGTACTAACAGGAGTGGCTCAGAGGTCTGGGTAAGGCCAGATGGACAAAGCGAGGGTCAGGACCAACTGAAAATGCTAATCATGTTAGATTGCTAACCGGGTGTAAGCCAACAAATCACCGCAATGATGGATATGTAAAGATAGTTACCATGGTGAGATGACGCCCTGGATCCAGAGCGTCCCTTAATGCTCACTTCAAGTCAAACCCATTTTGACATTTATTCCGTGTCGGTTGTAAACAGAAGCCACCGACACAAAGCCCAATGGCCCGTCTGGGTTTAATCTCCCCGGTCCCAGTCCTTCCCTTCGCCTTTCAGCCTGTTCTCTCAGGTCCAGATAAACCGCCTCAGGTTTCAGCTGCTGTGTGGACCAACCCAGATACTCCACCCTGTCGGTGTGAATGAGTCTGTAAAGGAGTGCCGAGGATTGTGTGTGTGTGTTTTTGTTCGATAGCTCCAGTTCAATGCAGAACAACTCTCCACGTGTTTCACCAGAGAGCACTTGACGTATCGCGCTCATTGTGCCGTAGTGAAGATGTATCCGATACACACAACGCGGCCTGATAAATCCTAGCCAGCGTGACCCGCGCTTTAAAAGAGACTCTTGTTTTATTTAATGTCCGACACCGTGTTTATTGGCAGTGCCGTGAATGCGGAGCACATCGAGAAAGCAAGGCGCTGCTCCACAACAACCCTTCTCTCTCTCTCTCTCTCTCTGTGTGTGTGTGTGTGTGTGTGTGTGTGTGTGTGTGTGTGTGTGTGTGTGTGTGTGTGTGTGTGTGTGTGTGTGTGTGTGTGTGTGTGTAAATGGATATTACCCACTGTCAAACACAAACACTTTCTTAGCGACGAATGACACGGCTGCTTGGTCGACCCATCACTCCTCTCTCCCGTCCTCTGCACCTCTTTTGTCCTCCCCCTCGTCCCCCATTGGCAGGATTTTACCGTTGCCCAGGAAACCGTCCCGATTGTGCTGTTAACAAAGGAAGCAGGGCCTTTTTGGGGGGGAGGGATTGCGGGGCCTCCCGGGAG